TAAATATTTTTTTAAAACCCGTCCCAAGCTTTTCAAAAAAAAAAAAAAAAAAAAAAAAAAAAAAAGTACAGGATCTGAAAAATTAATAAAATATGCTCTTAAAAATTTAATCATAATCATATCTTTGAGTAGCTCTTACCCTAGATCTGTCATTCTTTATAAAATATCAGACTTCTCAGACCACAAAAGTGTAGATGTTTTGTATCATTTTCTTGAAAGTATAACTGGGTCTTCCGTTATGTGGAACAAGTTCCAAGATACAAATGTACAAGCTTTGTCCATGAAATGTGCTTCAGATGTGCCTGTCTTAAAAGTACCACGTGAAGACTGTATCTAGGCCTTCCTTAAGAAATGCAGCTCATGTTTTAGTGTGTGTCTTTTTTAGGTCACAGTAACTGAGTTTTCTTAATATGTGAATTTTGAGCTGTGTGTGCAAACTCCTGAAGGAATTGCAATGATTTCTGTTGCACTGAATCTAATATTTTGTATTTATTTATTTATTTTAGGAAACACTCCTTTACATCTTGCTGTGATGTTGGGCCATAAAGGTGGGTAAACCCATTAATTTTATCTGATCTTAAATTATCCTCCAGATTTGGGACAGCGGGGGAGGAAAAGATTCTCCTATTTCACTTAATGTGATCTTGTGTTTCAAACTATTTCAAACCTGAATAGCTTTTCTGAGAAGGAGGATCCTCACAGATTTATGAGAGAGAAGTTTAAGAAGAAATCGTGGCTATTTCATAGGGTTTGGTGAAGCAGTCGGAGCGTGGGCAGGGTGGGAAGCAGAGGCAGCAGCTGCAGGGGCAGGGACAAGAGCGCGTGCCCGGGCTGCGGGGCTCGGAGCGCCTCCGTCCAGGCAGACCTCTCCTGTAATCCACAATTCCTGCGTGCTGCCGAAAGCTTCCGAATTCCCAGCGTGTGAGGATGCCCTTTTCCATCCTCGGTGCGTTTCTGGTTATTAGTGTTGTCCTGCTCCTTGATGAGCTGCTCAGTAAAGGTCTTGAGCAACCACAAATAAGGCGTTTCCCTCTTCAGCAGGAGGGTTACCAGTTGCACAGCTAAAATCTGGATGCTTTCAAGCAACGATGTTCAGTCATGGATGTGACTTCTTATGCATTGTGCCTTATTGCACTGTTTGCATCAAGCCCTGGCTTGTCTCAGGGTCATTAGTTAATGTTTACTAGCCTTGCACTCTTGTTGTAGTAAGGTTTGTGGCTGTTTTGTTTTATTTTAAGGTGATTAGCTGTCTTGAAGGGACATTTTCCACATGACATGGTGTGATGCCGTTGTAGTTAGAAATACGGATAACCAATTTTGATCAAAAATATTTTTCCTAAAACTCTTCTATTTTAATTCAGTACAGTTGAATACTTACTGTTTTAGTTTGTTTTAAAACTTATTTGGCTGGTTTATATTTCAAATCTAGGATAGAAACCCCCTGCCATCCACTGCTGACAAACTCCTCACCTGTGCTTGTGCAGCAGCAGTGGAGATGCAGCCTGCTAGATGCTGCTGGTGGCTTTGAGCACTCTGCACAGGCTCTATCAGCATTTTGATCTTCATTTGTTAATAGTATATTTGAATTACAAACATTCATTCTGAGACTCTTCATAAGAGTTATGTGGAAGATGGGACTGGGTGAGATTTGAGTGGATTACTTAGTCCATTTGTGTTCAAGACAACTGTATCTAAATTATTTGTTTAAAATTTCATTGTAAATATGAAAAGGATGAAGTGAAGGTAAATCTGATCTGTTTGTTCCGGGGTCCAGTTCTGTGTTCTATAGAAGTTAAGGACAACTTATTCAGGTCTTCTTTCTAGCATCTTTTCACATACTTACTAAACATACATCCTGTTTAGCTGAAAATGCAGTCTGGCTAGCAAGTGCAGCCCCGTTTGCCTGTTCAGTTTAGAGTGGTGGTGTTGTGCTAGGGAGTTACCTAAGCAGCCATAAAAATACCGTTGGATGATTAAGTAGTTAAGGCTTGTTTATTTACTGCTGAAGATGGCATATTCATTGCTCAAGTCCTTCCTTTTCCAAACGCCGCTCAGCACTGACTCATGGCTGTTGCATCTTGAGTGACTAGTACGGTTTCCTGTGCCGCCTACGGTAGGAGAAAAAGAGCCAGGAAGTTGCTCTATAATTCCTGCCCATCCTGCTCCAAACAAGACATTTGTTCAGGCTGCAGCTTCATAGCACTGAATCATTTGGAGATGGATGACGGTGGATGCTACATGGTGAGGAAACCAGTTAGAAATTAAAGAATTGTTGAAGTGAGGACAGTATGTTCAACACACGGAAACACACAGAGATTTCTTTTTCCGTGTTGCCTGTCCAAGCTAGAGTAACTGTAACGTGATGTGGGATGGTGCCGTGAGATGTTGTAGCAGGTAGGGAGGTACTTGAGTCTGTGTTACAGTGACAGCTTCCCCTCATGCCCCCTTATCCAGGGTTCTCAAAACTGGCCCAAAATCTGTGGGTCTGTGCAGGTTTCTAGCAGCCTGGTTCACTGTGGACATTTACAGGGGAAAGGGGGAAGGCTGCACATCTTTGTCATGTTCAGGACCATTAAATATGTCCTGATTCAGGCCTTTGTGAATGAAGTCAAGAGAATCTATTCAACTTATTTTAAAATGTTATTATGTGTTTGTGTGCCGGCACGCATGCAGACCCACATGCATGCAACTGCACCTTTGTGGAAACCAAAATACAGAAATCAGGAGGGTGGTAATTCTGTATGTGTGTAAGTGATGGTTGATCACTTAGGCATTAGGTTTTTAATGCCAATGTTGAACAGGAAAGAGCGTCAAATGCTTTATAAATATTTTTTGTGTGTTTGAGGTTTGGGATTAGAATTCAGATGTTGTAATAATCTGTTAAGATATTGATTATCTGCTGCTTTTTGATCATCGAAAAATGTCATTTTCTATATTATAAATGATTATACTTTTAAAAATCCTATTGTTTATTGTAACTGAATATTGTTACTCTGTTACAGAGTGTGCCCACTTACTTTTAGCCCATAATGCTCCAGTAAAGGTGAAAAATGCTCAGGGATGGAGCCCTCTTGCAGAAGCCATCAGCTATGGAGACAGACAAATGAGTAAGAATCTCAGTTGTTACTTAATCAAAACAAATACCTTGTGCAAACTAGGAAAACAATCTTTCAAAAAAAATACATATTAAAAAATCTCTATTTTACGTGTTTGAACGGTTTATATAGACCCACAAAACTTTTTTTTTTAATATATCTTCATATATGTTAATCTGTACTCATGTTGTTGTCCTAGTTTCAATAGGAAAGAAATTGCATTAAGATAAATAATGTTAAGTAGAGTTAAGATAAGGCTCATAAATTATTTAAAAAGCTATAAATGATCATTCACTATTTAGAATTAGAGGTACAAGTTGGAAATGGATTTCAGCTGTATAGAATCATCTAATTGAAACAGCTCCATGTATAGTACTCAAATGTATGACATTGCATTGCCAATCGTTACATCCAATGTTGCCTTCCTGTTACATTTCAGCAGGCCCGCAGCTAAATGTAATGATTCAAGTTAATTACTTACCCATCTCAGATGTGAAGCAGTAAAGGGAAAAGTATTGTGCTGCGCTCATTAGTGGATGGTAGTAGTATTTGGTTTTATCATGTCCCATAGCAGAGAACTTATCATTTGGCTTTACAATATATTAATGTGCTAGTTTCTAATATAGTGGCAACATTCTACAAGTGAGCTCCTCACTGCTGAAGGATTGTCTTGGTGGGAGTAAATGCTGATCAGTCCCCAGGCTCGTGTTTGGTAATGCACACAGATGTAATATTCACTAATTTGTGAACAAAGACAAAAACCCTGACGTGTGTACATGTATATTAACTTTAAAGTATATTAAAAAAAAGCTTTTCTTCCTGCTGTGATCCTCGTAGTTTATGTATAATTAGTATAACTCGAAGGGAATTTCCCTCAAGACTGGAATATTACATTTGCCTACATTTTTCCATTGCTATGTGAATATTTGTAAAGTAATCATATTATATTGATTTTAACAAACAAATAGAATATTTTTATCTTATAGTTAATGTCTGTTTAGTTACTGCACTCCTAAGGAAGCTTAAGCAGCAGTCCAGGGAAAGCGTTGAAGAAAAGCGACCTCGATTATTAAAAGCCCTAAAAGAGGTAAGGTTTATTTTTTTGTTTGTGCATTGTGGGGGGGAAATAGTATCTTATGGTTCTCTCTAGAAAAGCTTCAAGCAAAAGATCTTCAAAAATGGATGCTTCAAATGACTTGCATAATTTCTTCAGCATTAATTCTACTGTAGGCTAAACCCTCAGATATGTTTAATTTCAGTATTGGTTAACTAACTCCAGATTGGTGTACTTTCTGCAGAAAGAAGAAGGTTTTCTTTGTTTCACCTGTTTTAATTAATTAGTCAAAATTTCCGCGTTTCAGCAAAGTTTGCAGTTGTCATTTTGACTAGAAAGTATGCTAAAGCACTCTTGTTTTCATCTCAGCTAGGTGACTTCTATCTAGAGCTTCACTGGGATTTTCAAAGTTGGGGTAAGAAATTGCATATTCCCTTTTGTAGAGATAATACAGTTGGTCTTCACCATTTGTTCTCTCTGGCTTCATTTACTTCAGTTTGCATAGTGTAAAATTTACAGTCCCATTCTCAAGATATCAGTGATAAAAGACAGACAACTTTTTTGATTAATTATTTTTGGTTCCTCATTTTTGGACCTGCATATTTTTCTGTAACCTAGTGCGTAGTGGGGTATAGGAACAAGCTGCTGTTTACTTTAAAAATAATATTTTATTTTTATAAAAAACAAAAACGTTTGTGTGGTCGTTTGGTGTCACTGTAGAGCAGTGGTTTGAGTATTGAGCTGAATTTCTTATTTAGCTTTTTGAAGTTCAACCTGGGCTCCAAGTACTTGGCGTTGCATTAAGTGCAACCATTTAGCCTGTCCTGAGAGCTTAGCTTCGTGCCGACACACATTCCACAAGACAGGATGACCGATAGGAGTAATCTACTCAAACGCATTAAGTAGTTTTCAGTTTCCACCTCCTCTTATGTGTAGAAATCTAAGCAAATTAACAGAAATTTATTAGCGATGGTCAGTGTGTCTCATTAACTTACCTTGGTGATATTCCCTGTAGAAACATAAATTTTATATTAGTATAGTCTAGTTACTTGGTGTACTACATGCCTCTTCCAGTATTCAGAGGAGGAATGAGCAACTGAGCTGCAACCAAAAGTTGAGCAGATATAAAATACCTCTTGCTTAGGAGATCTCCTGTGCCCTGGGTGTTCAATGAGTGGGATTTCTCACAGAACAGTCAATATTAAATAACTAAATGAAATAAAAGAGAGTAGGGGTAGGCGTGGAGTAAGACCTGGCTTAGTGATGATGCCACGACCTGGCTTGCAGAGTTATGATGGCAGTCAGACACTGTGCAGAAAAAGGGCCAGGAGTAAAGCTGAGCTTTAAGGTTCCTCTCCTCTAGCATTCTCACTGAACAGGAGGGTGCACCTCTCTTGACACAGTGTGGTTTTTATAGATGATCTCACTTCTTGAAGAGAAAGATGGACAGGACAGTCCTTTTGCTGATTATTGGTCTTTTTGGTTAATTGCATTTATACGCTCAAATATTTATAGTACTAATTGAAGAAAAGTGTTGAAATGCTTTAATGTTTAGTTGCCTTTGTTGCCATAAAATAAATGGTGCCCTCCAAAATGAGGGCAGCTGCAGTCTCATATATCTATCTCATGTGCACAGACGGTTTAATGTTAGCTTGAGCTTTTAAGCAGAGTGCTTTGGATTTCTTTCTGCTTGTGGGTGTTTGATACAGTTGTAGCTAAGCTTTCAGTCAGTGAAATACTAAATCCTGAGACTAAAACTTCAAGCAAGTTGCAAGTGATACACCTGTGGCTAAGGGCATTAAGTTCTATCCTGGTGCTGGAAGTGGTCTGTACAAACCCCGATCAGTTGTTCAGTTACTGAACCTGGAAAAAAAGCCTTCCTTCACTGCATGTCTACTGAGATTATGATAGAAATTTGGTATGTTGGATTTATATTAAAATCCATCAAAATGTAAACTGGTGTAGTTTCAATAGAAATACATTTCAAAATAACCTTTTGGTATTTTAATGTTCTAATTATATTATCTCTCCCCTTACATCTAGTGCCTTTACTCTCCCGAATTCTGCCTTCTGATGCATGTAAAATACACAAGCAAGGTATAAATATCAGGTAAGTACTGATTTATGGTATGTGATATAAATGTGATAAATTCATAAATAACTACATGTTGTGAGACAACTGGACTTGAGTGTGCTCCGAAAGAAAGAGTGAGGAGACTGCAGCTGTCAGTGAAACAGTGTTGTGTCGGTGCCTGGCTCCTTAGGGGCAGGAAGTGTTTTAAACCTCTGTTTAACAATGTATAAACAAGTTTTATATTAGTTTCTGATTGATTTTTTTTTTTTTAAGTGCGTAGTGTACCTTTAATTGCATCTCTATTAGTATTAAATGGCAGAGCTAAGCAATTAGCTGAGTTCATTTTGTATTTAGAATACCTTTAAAATATTTAAGAATTTCTAAAATTGGTATATACCTACTTACCTGTTGGCATGTTCTTTTCTTTCTACGTCTGTTGAAGTTACTGGATAGTAAATAAGCATATGAACTGAGTTAAGAAACCTGTAGGAGATGATGCAGACACCCAACAAATCAGTATGATTAATACTTGTATTTATCAATTTGAATTTAACTTTTTTTTTCCTGAGTTACTGAAAATATAAAGCAGAAGTATTTATGCTTTGCATGGCTGTACCTACCTGTCACGATAATGATTGACTGATAAAAGCAAATTTGATGATATTTGTAACAGAATGTCAAATAGACAAGTTTTCTGTGTGTTGTGGCAAAATATCACCGCTGTGAACTCTGTAGTGCTTAAAAAAACAAAGAGAAAGGGGAAAAAAGTAGTATAGGTTCACTTTTTAATATGCTTGAAACCTCTGATATTCACAAAATCAGGGTGTTTCCAGCATTTTTGAGAGCTCAGCTCTTTAATTGGATGATTTAACTAGTTCAGGTGGGATTTTTTTTGGATTCAAGTGTCTCTCCTATTTAAATTCCAAAATTAAAGCATTCGGGATCATTATTCAGTAGAAACCTCTGTTCCTATTAAAGCTTTTAGCACAGAAATGTGGATTGACTTTGTAGGTCAGATCTCAGCCTGCGATCTCCCCTCACTCTTCCCTCCTCCCTCCCCATCTTTTCCCCTTTTTTTGTCCTCTCATTTTTGGGTCAGGTGCCCCTACAGCTGGGAGTTACACGACTGACTGGAAATAGCTACTGAGTTTTCTTGTATGTAAAGGCTAATACATGATGAGTACTGAGCAAGAGCTGCTTAGAGCTGAAGTGTTACTGAATTCAGGTCTTTAGCCCTTTTCTTGGAAAAGTAAATACACTAGCAATAATCCCCAGGAATTGCTAAGGTCATCTTTGTCCTCAGCCTCATGCTTTAATTCTTAAGGTCAGTTGAAGTGTTTTGTTTTTGTTGGGAAGGGAAAAATAGAAACAATCGAACTGAAATGGGTAATGTTGTTACTCACATCATTGGCAGTTTCTCCTGGAACAGGAAGTCGATCACATAGAGCAGTTACATTTCATAAATTCTAGTACGTCCTCATGCTGGCAGCTTGGAAATGAAGTAAAAGTGTCTGTAAAGGTCTTGAAATAAAGTAAAAGTAGAAACTTTGTTCAAATAACTTTCTGTTTTATTATTATTATTATTCTATTATATATATGTTACTTTGTTCAAATAACTTTCTGTTTTATTATTATTATTATTATTCTATTATATATATGTTATGGAGCAAAAGATTTAAATTTTCCTATGTTTAGTATTGCATAAAAACAGCTTAGAATTAATTTATAATGGCACACACATAATATGAAATCTTATGATAGTTAATACTAGTTTTTTTTTAATTTCTGCATCTAGAATTCCTTTATGGAGTATTCTTTGAAAACTTAGACCTTAATATGCATGATTATGGCCAGAAAAGGTTCTGTATGCAGTTGGAACTCGCTAGTGTATTGCAGTGTTTATGGGTAATTATTTTTAAGTGTTGGTTGTTTTTCACAGGCTGGACACAACTCTCATCGACTTTACCGACATGAAGTGCCAACGAGGGGATTTAAGCTTCATTTTTAACGGTGACGCAGCACCCTCTGAATCTTTTGTAGTTTTAGACAATGAGCAAAAAGTTTACCAGCGAATACATCATGAGGTGAGGAGCTGCGTGGATGGGAAACAACTGCAGCTTTTTCTGCCCATTAGAAGTGTGATAAATTAATTAAATAAAATGTGCTTCAGAAAAATCTAGCTTCAAAGAAATGCAAACCAGAGATTTTTTGTGTGTGTTTAGCTGATATAACTTAAGTTCTATTAGTGACATAAAGTTTTCTTTGAAAACACTGCTTTTTGAATACAGATATCTAATTAAGAGAAAGCTAAAAATATAGAGCTATTAGAAAACAGTCATATCACTTTAGGTAAATAAATATGTTTGAATTATGAAGCATGCCACTTTTAATCTTTCCAGTGGACTTAATTCAGATGTTGACAGTTATTTTTATCAAACCTGGCATCCACCAGGTTTGCACCCATTTGGTCACTCTGCTGCCAGTGTGTGTTTTTTAAGAACAAAAGGGGCATGAATCATTGGACACGTTGTGTTTAGACAACAGTTCTTTTAATTACAAGTCTCTCTGTTAATCATTCAACTCTATGGATCTTGGCCCTTTCAAGGGATGTGGTTGCTGAATTGGGTAAATCATGCTTACGTGTTTGACTTGCAGTAATATTTAAGGTGGAACTACTCAGTAATGATTTGGATGGAACTTTTATAATTCTGATTAAAAATTCAGGAAATACAAATTCTGGTAACACTTTTAAAGGAAAAGGTTTATTTACTTCAAAAGAAGGAATACTAAGTTCTGTCATGTGTTTGGATTTTTTTTACCTAGGAATCGGAGATGGAAACAGAAGAGGAGGTTGACATTTTAATGAGCAGTGATATTTACTCAGCAACGTTATCAACCAAATCAATTACCTTCACGCGTGCCCAGACGGGATGGCTTTTTCGAGAAGACAAAACAGTAAGCTGGAAAGAACTGTCATAGGCTGACACAGAGTGGTTCAGACAGCAGTATAATGTAGTTGAGTAATGTAGTGGGTAGAAATAAGAGAAAAACAATGAGGTTTTCGTTCCCCAGAAAGGGTGGGAAAATCACTGCCTCCCTGCCCTGTGGGCATCGCACAGAATGTGTGTGATACTGCACTGCCTTGGCAGGAACACGGGGCTTGGGAGAGCTCCCAGGGAAGAGCTGCTGGGAAAAACGAGCTCGTGTAACCTGTGTGCCCATCTGCACATATATGTGTATAGATATATGTATTCACACACACACACATGTTCCAAGATTTACAGTGAGGAGTCTGTAGACTTACATCAGTGAAATGAAGGAAAAAAGCACAGAAAGGTGTTCTGGGAATGGTGTCCTTTGACACTGAGTGGTCAGTGTTTTCTTCCTGTTTGAAATGTATATTCTCAGCTGTGAAAACAACTGAGAAGTAACTACCTACACATCTCTTTTGGGTAGGAAAATGCAATGTTGGGATTAGCTCTGGAGAGGTTTTGTTTTCATCTGGATCCAACATGTAGTACTTTCTACATACATAAAATATTGCATGTGTAAATTATCATTTACCACAACTTGCTATTTAAGAGCAGATTTCTCTTGGCCTCTCTCAGATGAATTTTTGAACAGTTTCTTCTGACATAGCTATTTCATGTGAATTGAAATTTTATTCCTGATGAAATTTTTTGTGCTGTATTTTAAATTTCTGAGAGTGTACACTAATATTGCACTGAAGTATAGTGTTACATATATATATATATATATATATATATATATATGTAAGTGAATTAAAAAGGCCTATTTTGTTTCCTTTTTTGGCTTATTAACATAAAGTTTATTTCTTATAGGAAAGAGTAGGGAACTTCTTGGCAGATTTCTACCTGGTTAATGGACTTGTATTAGAATCAAGGAAAAGAAGGGAACATCTCAGTGAGGAGGATATTCTTCGAAATAAAGCTATCATGGAGAGTCTGAGTAAAGGTGGCAATTTAATGGAACAAAATTTTGAGGTAATTTAAATCATTCTTTTCAGCATGCTGATTTTTGCATGGGAGAATAAACTTTCACACTAGTCATACAGCAAAATTAATACATCATACTTTTGCTCTGTTGTCTTAACTTTAAAATAATAGATACTTAGAATGGTTTCTATGAATGTAACTTATGAATGCAGTCGGTGTGGTCTGTTCATGTATCAGCCTGATTAGTGCACACATTGAGGGGTTTCTTTGATTATTTTGAATATGTCGGTCTTAACTACGGCTGTTTGTGAAAGATGTGTTTAGCTGCGGCAAATGAATTCAAGTTGTCTTAGACTGACTGCTTATGCTTTAGAATACCCTTCAGGTTCCCTTTGCCATCATTTTTCCTTACTGTTCCTCAGAAGCCTGTGGTTGTCACCATGAAATTGGAAACCTCTCAAATGAGCCAAACATTCTCTAGGAATATGTATACAGCCTTTTAAAAATGATTAACTTATTTCTATATTAATTTGTTCTTTGCTGTACATAGTTGGATTAAGTTGAATTAAGTTGTGCATTAAAACAGCCAACTTCTGTTCAAAATTCTGTTTGAGGTCTAATATCTAAATGGAGAGCAGGACAGAAAGGAGAAGGAGAAGCTTGTGAAATTCCAGCTGGCCACTAGACAAAATACATTGCTGCTCTTCCTAGAATTAAACTACAATTTTATCTTTTAAATGGTAAAGTTTTGGAAGAAGACAAAAAGAGGCAAATAGCTGAGACTTTTCTTTCTTTAACAGCCTGTGAGACGACAGTCACTTACTCCACCATCACCCAATACAATTACATGGGAAGAGTATATATCTGCTGAAAATGGAAAGTAAGTATTTTTGGGTTGAGGTCTCCTGCAGACAGGTTTAGATTATTAGTATATAGTTCAATCTCATCTAGTTTGTGCATACTTTTATAGTTTTCTGATAACAGAGGAACATTGGTTTCATTCTCTGTCATGTTCTGTGTTCTAGTAGACTGGTTGAGAAACTGGCACCTGTATAAGTAGATAATAGTATTGCACCAAGAGATGATACAAATATCAGATGGGCATCTAGCTATAGCTTGAAACTTAAATAGATGTGAATTATTTCAAAATGTTTAAGCTGGTGTTTTTTAAGGAAAGTCTTCAGTAAAACTCATTGCTGTAATTCATTAATCTTTATTAATGATAGTAATAAATGATTCAATTGACCATGTTTAAAATGAAAACAAAGTGTGTGATTTTATCCTCCAGATATGTGCAAAAACAAATGCTTCTGGAATGACATACATAACTGTGGATGTTAGCCAAGTCTTTGCAGTCTCTGCTAGCTGTGTAACTAGGTAGTGAATAGGTGTATTTTTTCCTACTTTTGTAGAAAAGTCAAGCCATTGAGTTCATTTTCTAGGACTGAATGCTGCCTAGGAATTGAATGTAGAAGGGCCCCAAAGTAAACTGAGTGCATCACAGAAACAGCATTGATAAAAGGGCTTGCTTCTCAGAAATTCAGATTATCCTGTAGTCAGATGTTACCAGTGAAGATGGTATTACAGTACAGACTTACTAAAAAGGCCCACAAGTATAGTGGATTTTTCATTCGATTTGCCTTTTTTTTTTTTTTGAATTCATTTTTATGTGAGTGTTTTTTTTTCTTTTTTTTTCCTGTATTTGAGACAGAAGAAACATTCAAACAGAGTACATACATTGTGCTTGAGCAGCTGTTAGTGTTGGGACCAAAATGTGTAAGCCTGATAGATTTTGTTTAATATTCTAATTACCTGAAGGCAGTTCAGAGGCACATACAGTTTTCTAGTTAATATAAAACAGAGGAGGAGAAGATCGTTTACTTAATTTCTTACCCTGTCCTATTACAGAATTGTTTCCTGCCTGGGTTTTCCAGTACTGATTACCTTTCCTGCTTTCCCTGAGGTTGTTCCATAGTCTAAGCTGGGCACAAGATTAAATTTCTTCTAGTTCAGCTTGATACTTTGTTCACTTGTAATATAGCATATACTATATATAGCATATATCTCTACTATGTTGTACATATACTATATATATTTTGTTAATTCACTCTGATACCACCCAAAATATATTCTTAGGTAACTGTCACGTCTCTGCGCACTGTTTATTAATATGACATCCATGTGGGCTTTTTTGAATATTGTTGTTTTTTCCTTAATTATTTTTGTCTTGTCTCCAGGTTTACCGGAATTTGCAGTAATCTGAATTGCAGTGGCTACCATTTCCTCTGTTACTGTGCATTGCTCTTGTTTCACCATTTCCTTAACTGCAATTTTTACTGACTTCTTTCTTTCTTCTACTCCCCTTTGAAGAGCTCCTCATCTGGGTAGAGAGCTGGTCTGCAAAGAAAGCAAGAAAACCTTTAAAGCCACGATAGCAATGAGCCAGGAATTTCCTTTAGGAATTGAATCGTAAGTTAAAAACTATTGTCTGGAAATGCTGTTTGTACCTAGGAAATGTATTAATGTGTTTATGAACTGCAAAATTCTTCCTGTCTTCAGATTTTGCAGCTTTGGCAGTTCAAAAACGTGAATAAAGTTGTGTTTTAGGGTAAGAAACCGTTAAAATTGGAGACCTCAGAGCTGATGGGCCCAAGTGTTAAGGTTAAGACCAGAGGTTTGACCAGGTTTGTCACTGGGTTCTCATTATACTAATGTGCTTGATCCTACAGGATACTAAAACATCTTTGCCCACTGGCATCGGCACACAATTGTGTTCCCTAAACGTGGACAAAACCACATGTTGGGCCCTTTTTATGGGGAAGGAGGTTCAGAGAAGTGAGTGTGAAGCACGGTGTGCTTCAGCTGCTTGTGAAACAGGAGGACAAGAGACAAAGGGCTTCGTGTGATTTGTATGGATGTAGTAAAGCATTACAGATCACTAGGAAACAAACATGACAATGCTGGTGTTAAAGCTCTAAGGATATATATTTAAATGGTGTAGTTTTTCTTTATTTATTTCTTTGCTCCGTAGGTCATTTTCATCTTCTCTGGTGTGAAAAGTAAACTTGTGAAACAAGAATTTATAATGAAATCCACTCTCTTTTTTCAGGTTATTGAATGTTTTAGAAGTAATTGCACCCTTCAAGCACTTTAACAAACTTAGAGAATTTGTTCAAATGAAGCTTCCACCAGGCTTTCCTGTAAAGTTAGGTAAGGTGACTCCCGTAACTTCAATGGTTTTGTATTTCCAGAATATTCGTGCCTATAATATGCTTAAAAATTCTATTTTTAAGTTTTAGAAAAAAACTATCTCTTCTTAACATGAGTGTGTTGCTGTAGATTTTGGAGAAAGTAGCTACACTACTGGAAATAGTCTTAGGTTTGAAAAAGGAAACCTGTCTGAAGGAAGAATATAGTCACAGCCACAAAGAGAGTTCTTTAGCATTTCTGTGGTGCTAGGTCTTGCTGTAAGAATAGCATTGACACACTGAAGTACACCTTCGTTGAAGAATGATCTTGGTCTTGAGTAAAGGATTTTGTAGAGTTTTTCGTATGAGTGGTGATACATCATTCACTTATAAACAAATGAGAAACTAAACTGTTGCTAACAAATAGAAATGTATAAAATATTTTATTCCTGGATGCATATAAATAAAACATAAAATAACAAAATCCAATAGTCGCTTTTCTAAAGGTTGCAGGTTTTCTTTCATAGCAGCAGGATAAATTTTCATTTTTGTTCTGTTTAAGCTTGAACATTGTGAACAGACTGAATTCTACCTTCTATTATATTGGCACAGCTGTCTATGCATTTGAGGTTTGAAATTTGCCTAGCTTGTTAACTTAGTTCATGGATAAGCCACTTCTAATGAGGACAATTCTTAAACTTCAACATGAATTTAAAATGAAGAACTGAAATGAAAAATATAAATGGAAGCATATATTCTAAAGCAAACATGGCAAAGAGCTGAACTCTGCATGTGAGCTTGTCAGCTGAAACCTAAACAGGGCAAGATTACTTTATCTCGTGGTATCTTCAGGCCAGTTCCTCTGTTTGAACAGATTATTCTGCACACTGACAGCACCTTGAAGCTGTTCATCCAAGCCAAACTTCTGCCTTGTCTTTTGTTTCTGTGTTATTAATCTGCATAAAGAAAGACACTTATTTAATTACATCCATGTTTTTGAATGGTGTATTCAGTTCTCAGACTGTTTGAGCAGATTCTTCAATATCTTTAAAGCACATTCTCATTTTCTTTAGGCTTTGAGTTTCATGCATGCGGTTATCTGAAATATCAAAGAAATTTCCATGTATTGGCAAATCTGAAATATCAAGGAACTTTCTGCGTATTAGCAAATCAGAAGACATGGCATGAAATAACTACTGCTGATTATTGCTAAACTTGTATTTCTTTCCTCTTCCCTGTCCCATTTTACTTCCTACCTAGATATTCCGGTATTCCCCACCATCACAGCCACTGTGACTTTTCAGGAGTTTCGTTACGACGAGTTTGATGAATCCATCTTCACTATTCCTGATGACTACAAGGAGGACCCCAGCCATTTTCCTGATCTCTAATTAAACTGGAAGGTTAATGGTGACTAACAATACCAGCGTATCACAGTGAAAGCAAATGGATGCAAAGAGCCCACAGGTATTATAGGTATGGGAGTGGGTCATACAGGAAGGGACAAACTTAAATAACCCAGAAGAAAAGGGAACATGCATCAAATGACTGGTGTACTGGTGTTCACTATAATGGGCATCCTAATCTAGGCCCTGATTTACAGCAAGTCTCCTGACGTGTCGTTCACACTTTTGTACATCCCGTGCTGCAAGCGTGGTAGTCTGACACTTCGGTGACCCTAAAAATATTTAATAGCTGTGAGGACTATCATTCATTTTTAAATTTTTTACATTTCTTCTTGGTGATACTGAAAGCACTCTTGGACCATTAGCATAAAAATTGAAATGTCTTAGCTGGATATTAATCCTTTAAAACATCACACTGTATTTAAGATGACCATGTCATATTCTTTCATGCTTTGTTTTCATGAATTGTAAACTATGTATCATTATGTATAGTTCAGTAATTTGAATGTTAGTTGAACATATATTAGAAGGAATGCATTTCCTGTAGGTGAATGAACCAAATGGCAACCATTAAACAATTGCGTTTTCATATTGCAGTACACATCAGAAAGGGCATTCACTCTGCAGGGAATTAGGTACCACCTTAGCACCTGAGTGCAGGCCGTTGTGGTGCTATCCGTGTCTCTGGACTGGTGATTTCTTCCCTGAGCTCTGTGTTACTCTTTCTCTCATTGGCTCTGCAGGTAACGTTTTTGTCACCGTGGCCTCCGCAGCCCTCGCGGTGTCCCGGCGTGGTGTTGGTTAGCTTGGAGCTCCTGAGGGAGAAATCGCCACTTTTTTTCCTTTTTTTCACGCTCACTTAGGAGACTTGCTCCAGTTGATGGGTAACCATCAACCAAGTTACCTTGCTTGTGTGTCCGGCAGCCACTGGAATACCGGCGTGCAGATGAGGAGTTGCTAGAACAATAAGCTCAAGCGTTGTTCTCTTAACAAAAACTGTTTCTCTTGAAGTTAGTTTAATTGTAGTGCACACTGAATAGAGCTCACACTGGAAGATTTTACCTACAATTGCTTAGTATGTTTCCAAATTAATTTTCTTCTTAATATTTTTAATAGGTAGGGAGTTGCATTACTCTGGTTTCTTGAGCTTATTCTCATTCCAAGTGGTTCCAGTCTCCTAATTTGACAATAATCCAGCTTTCTGGTTTGTTAGAAAGACTTTGTGCAACAGGCTAATGGTGCTATTTGTTTGTATTAAGAAATTTAGAATAACGTGCTGTGGTGTAACTGTACAAAAATGTAAATACTTTCAAAATTATATTCTTTGTGCACTGTAGTTAAAACTTTTTCTGGAAATCAATAGAGTTATGTTTGAAACTTTATAATAAAGAGTACCATCAAAGCTTAGCAAAGGTAACCCACCTGACTAACCCTGCAGATGGAGAATGGAGGTAGCTTGTCACAAGGCAATAACAGCTGGTCTGTCAGGCACAGCAAGCGAAGGTGGAAGTGCTTCCCAGGGACATTCATTCGGAATTTCTGGGATCCTGGCTATGTAAAACCGCAAGAGGCTGCTCTAGGGAAGTACTAGTGAATCAGTGGCAGTACAAGCTGGCTGCACTGAAAACAAAGCGGAGGCTGATCCTGTTTCAGCATTGCCCTAAGGCTGCGAGTTGGACAGGGGAGTGTGGTGTTTCCTTGGCAGACAGTGACCGATACACTGGAGTTACCTAGTTCGAAATCAAATTGGAAATAAAACAGTAGAGGGAGGAACAAAGGGAAATGTAAAATTCTTGTAATAACATTCGAAATACTGCGTGAGGAGCAGATGTTGAACATTTGGTAGGAATGATAGGACTTGTTTTTCCAAGTAATGATGAATTCCTACAGTGTTCTGCATGTGTGGGGTGGAAGGTGCTGGTCTCCTCAGCGCGCGGGCGCGTGGCGAGCGCGGGCAGAGCCGTGCGCCGGGCCGGGCGGCGCCGTCGGAGCGCCGCGTCCGCGGGACTGCGGCACGCGTTGGGCATCGTCCCGGTCAGCATTGCGGGGGAGGACCGGGGGGGCACGTCATTTTGTGTTTTTGCTTATTCCAAGCTATCGTCCCAGCGCCTGTGACAGCAGGGCCCCTTCGTAGCGACAGCCGGGTGTTGTGGGCAGCACAGCAACTGCAGCGCGCTGGGTCCTACATTTAAAAACAAACCCTTCATCCAGGTTAGCCCCCGTGGGACCGGGGTCGCCGTCATCCCCATCCGCTCAGGGGAGGCTGCGGTTTCTTCTGCTGGCGAACGGGGTGGCTGCATCGAGCCCACTGCAGCTTGTGGGAGGGTTTTCACTGGTTATCGTGGACTCTGGCTGAAGACTTGATGGGTTTTTTAACCTTCATGAATACATTATTACTAACTTTGATACGTTTTAAGATTTGCAGAAACTTTTTATAGTGGGTTGCTCTATTGAGGCTTGTTCTAATTTGAAGTGTCAGCACCGTGGACGCAGGTTTGGTTGACTGTAGTCTTTTAACATAATAAACGGTGAACAGACCCTGCTACTTGTTTCCCTAATATGCAGCTGAAGGACCTGACTCCAATGGGACTGTATTTTTTCAGTTCAGTGACTGTTTCCAGGCTCCTGTGACAGCCCCACTGAGGAGAGGTGCCCCGTTCTCGCCGCTGCTGCTTCCCCGCGGGCAGCGCGTGCGCCCTGTTGCAGCGTCGCGGTGTCGGCGCCCGTGGCGGTGCTTTATCGGGGGTAGCTTGTGCTCGTGAGGGCTGCCCTTCACCGTGCTGATGCGACGTGTGTCCTTGTCACTGCGGATGGATCCGCATGGAAGCTCTGCCCGCGCTGGGAACGGGTGCAGTGTTTCGGCAGAGACGTAGCCCTGCGCCGCAGCCGCGCTGGGCGCTCTGACGCCCTTTACCCCTCCCCATCTCCGGTTGCCATTTGAAAACGTCCTGTTTCTAGCAGGATTGATTTTGGTTCTCCCCTTGTCTCGCGTCAGCGTTGCGGAAGGGTCAGGGCCCTGCTCCGTGGGTGCCGGTCCCGGCGCCTCCCCCGAGGCGGCCGCGTCGCAGGAGA